AGTCCCTCCTGAGTCAGGAAAGAGGTTAAGCAGATGCATATCCTTAAGTTCTAAATGACTTCTGTGGGACTTTCCCTTGTCTTAAATTTTGAATGTACTTGAAGCATACTAATGGCTAAGCACAGACTATGAATACAGGTGGCTCAGTTTGGCCCTCAGCTGGCACAAAAACAAAATTTAACATTACTTTTAAAGTGTTTTGACTAAAATCCAGCAAAGTACTTAAGCCTACACACAGTGCTGATTTAACTGTCTCAGTTTATAGTTACACTGGTGCAATTTCCTAGCATGGATACAGTTCTGCTAGTATTTGTCTTGGCATAACTTAGCAAGACACTTTTACAGAACTGAATGCCACTGAAAGTCAAGAAGGCTGGGGCAAACCTGCAAGAGAGAAAGCCAAACCTGAGTAAACTGAAAATGCAAAACTGAAATGGCATAAGAAGCAAAAAATTTGACTATTGAAGTGTTCATCTTCAAAACCTTCAAGAGATCATTGGTGGCATTTCTCAGAACACTTTTGCCAATGTGTCTATTCATATGTGAATTCATTTCACGAGTAGTAGCTCCTTCCAGAAGGTGTGGATGAAATGCCTGGATTATACCTCATATAATGTAAGACCCATTGAGCTGAATATGGTCTAATTGGTGGGTTGAAGTATAGAAACCTGTTTTAGGTTCTGTATGGCATGTAGTGAAATCCCTATTACAGTCTTCTGATTCTGCTGAGAATACATTATTTTTTTAATTGCTATTTTCCTTTTTGTTAAAACTTAATGCAGCCAAACCACTCAAGATAAAAGAAAGCATTTTTTCTTTTTTCCTTTCCAAAGGATCTTCAAGGAAGAGTTTGACCACAAAAAAGGCTGATAAAAATGAGAGAAGAATAATGACCTTTTTATGTATTATTTACAATGCACAATAGTGGTCAAAGTGACACCATTATTCAGCTTTCCAGTACTTGTGAATTGGTTATGGATATCACATACCAATGGGAAATATACCTAATAACCTAGTTCTACTTTGGGAAAGGACTGTTTCTAAGACTCTCCCGTAAAACTAATAAAATTTTTATTTATGCCCCGCTTGGTGCTTCAGATGGTCCATTTCCCTAGATCCATTCATTTTCTTTTTTGGTTGTTTCTGTTATGGGCTGATTTGCTTTGGCTTTGCACTAAATAGGATGTAAAACTAAGTGCTCCTGATACAATTTCTATGGGTTTATTTGTTGCTTTTTGTCCACCTTGCTTTGTATAGACAGCAGATGTATTAAGCGAAGATGCACAGCATACTAAATTCTTATCTCATTCCAAGAACATAGTGCTTCCAAATTAAATTGTTCAAGATGCAAGAAATGGCACTATTAAAGTCACCAGTAGAAACCTTAACCTGTCCCCTTCCTCACAAACATTCCAACTGGTGCCATTTTTCATTAAATGCATCAATATCTATCAGCATATGGACGCACCAAATGACCAAACATTAACCCTAAATACTTGTTCTCTAACTCTATTTGAAACTACAAAAAAGAAAAATCTATTTAGTATTTTCAGTGATTTCTATTACACCTTAAGTAATTGCCATAATTTTGTCTACAATATAATACTGCCAAAATTAAGAATAGAAGTTTAGCCTCTAGCAATGCACTATCAGTTTTCATGGATACCATAAAGAATTTATCAGCTTCTCTTTTTGTCACATGAACCATACAGGCAGTGACTCTAAGATTAAGGGGATTTCTCCACTACCAAGAAATTAAGCCCCATGTTGAACTATTCCTGTTTTTTTTCAGTTGCATTGGGATGTTGCTAACTAAATCCAGTAACATCACAGCACAACCTTACTTGGGCTCAGGCTCGGAAACTTTGCAACCTGAACATCAAAACTAAAATAATTACTATTCAAATAAGAAGGGAAAATACAGTATGATATACACTCATGCCCCACAAAACCTCTACACATCGTACTGTTTCACTTTGGATGCACAAATAGTTGATGCACTGTACAAAAGCAAACATGGTTTGCCTTCCAAACTGGGCTTCAAACCTCATTACATTTAATAGTTCCGTACCAAAATGCCAAGTACTTCAACAAAAATTCTGGCCAGATTTACATACTTAAAAAAAAATACCGAAACAGAAAAACACAGAAAAGTGTAACATTACAAAGTTCTAAATTCAAACTACACTTCAGCAGCATAAAGGTGGGTTAATCAAGAACTGTGTTGGTGAACTTCTAGAAGAAAGGGACTCATTCCAACAGTGCCTGTCATGCTGCAAGGCATAGTTGTAGCGCCTTGTCTTCATCAACTGGAAAATAATGTGCTGTGCTGTTTGCAGATAGTGCTGGCAACCATTCTTCTGCATATCCTGCATTCCCACTCCATGTGGAGTTATGTACAGCAAAGATTACATGTGATCCCCCAGGCAGTCCATATATACTTGTGGACAGCTAATTCTATTCTGTTTAAACACAAGATACAGTGGTAGTGACCACGCTGATTTAAGGTAGATGTATAGAAGTGTACATCAGTCCTAAATATCTCTTTATTTTGTACTAGAGGAGGTGGTTACAAGAAAGAAAGAAATAAAGAGAGAAAAAGAGAGACTTCTGAAATACTTAGTGAAGCTTACCTTGATGCACACTAAGGAGAAATCCAGGGATTTTGTCTGCACAGAGAAAATTGTCTAAATTGGCTGGAAAAACTCATTGACCCAGTCAGATTGTGTGAAGCTTGTGATCAAATACAGCCCCAGGCTCTCCTGCCTTATGCACTTGTGCATCTTGTTCAGAACACAAAGCTCAATGAAAAAAACCACTATTTTACTGTGATAAACACTACAATAGAATGGTGTTTGCACAGGCATGTGTGAGTTGCTCTTCTTTATGTAGCTTGGAAACATTACATTCAAGGGTTTTTAGGTGTAAATTTACAGACACCACATGCAAAGAATTTTAAGGTTTCATTGTTCAATTATTTTAAGTAGAACAATGAGAACATCAATGCGACAACAATACAAATTAATCAAACAACAAAAAGTAAAGCAATTAAAGCTAAGCAGTGAGACTGATGAATTCACAGGTCCTTCTGCAATGCATATGCAAGAGCCTGAGTAATTAGGTGTAACTGTAGAAAGATTGTTAAATGTCTTTTAGTGTATATCTGTGAAATCTACTTCACTGAGAAAACAAGTACATTGTTCTGTGGCTCACTTTGGATAGCCACAAAAAATGAAGAAGGAAAGATGGTTCTGTAATTTAGAATATGGAATGGGAGATGGAAGTCTCTTGAATCTTTGACTTCCTATGTTGCTTCAGGCAGTGACTTAATTTCCCATCTGTAAAAAAGTTTGACAATTCTTCTGTGTGCCTACCTGGACTAGGAGGACATGTATATTAAGAATGTCCAAACAGAGCATAGAAATGAATAATAGTATCATTCCAAGGGTACAACACACCATACCACCAGTGTTCCATATAATCAAAGCTAGCACATACCTCAATCTCTGTCTCTACTATTGTAAATATCTGTGTTTGCAAAAATCCTGCATATGTTTCCTTGCCATTATTAGGCAGAAACTTGTATTTCTAGTCACTAGAAATTCTTGGATGGTCTCATCTGTGGAAGCCCAACTAAAGCTGCACTCAGTTCTGCAAAGTCCTGAGTATTGTCAGTCCTAATTGGCAGTGAGATGCTCAGAATTTCTGCAGTACCTCTGAATATAAGACAAAGGTTAAATTTAACCTTGTGAAGTTAGTCCTCCTCCAGACAGCGTTTCAGGTCCTCTAGTTCAGGCCTCCATTCTGAACTGCTTCCACAACCCTCTTCTTTCCTCCTTCTCTGTGTTGACTATAGCAAAGTCAGTATCACTAAGCATAAATTAGTCTTTCTGAATACTCCAAGCTCAATTCCAAAAGTTGACATCAAAATTCATCCTAGCACAACTTCCAAGATGGAGAGGAAACCAACATAACTGATCTAATGAAATTGTATTCCTTAAGTTACAATAGCTTACTTTCTTTTAAATCTAGATTCTGGTTAAGGTTTGGCAGCACATAAATTCTAAATTAGCCAAAATAATTACAAATAAATACATTATTAATCAGAGCATTACTCCCATGACTTAACAAGCCCATAGCATATCTCAGATCAGTAGTCTGTAACTACAGTATGTATTTGCCACTCTCTGGTAAGATCTAGGTAAAGTACCACCTAAGCAAGTTCAACTGTTTACCCCAAGGCAGCATTGCAGTTAGGAATGATCTTCATTGTAAGCCTAAGTCAATCCTCCTTTGGAGCAAACATTCCAAGTGATACACAGCAGATGCACAGCAGTGGAACATTGTGGTAACATAAAAGTGAGACAATATGATGAAGATTTTATATAGCTTCATTTTGCAAAGCCTTTCAGAGTACTATGTTTTCTTATCTTAAGGTGACAAAGACAAATCTATAGAGACTGATATATATAGTAGTTGAATCCTATTGAGCAATTTTTGATGGAATTCTTTGTAATAGACCTAGACAATGACAACAATGACATGAGATTAGCTCTAACACTGAGCATATAAGGAAAACTGTGTAATAATCTTATCCTGTGAATCCAAATAACGTTAAAAAATGAGAAAAAGTTACCTTATCTGCCTTGACAATACTGTAATAAATTATTCATCTGGCATAACAACAGAATGGAGTAAAAGATTCCAGATCATCAGTTTGAATCAAAACACTGATGAGGCAACCTATTCAAAATAAGCTAATTCTTTATGTCTCTGAAAATATTTAGTGGTCATCTTCCCTCAGGTTTTGTTTCCAGGCAATGACTGCAATTGTTTTCAGATAGAGATGGAGCTCTCTCTGTTCTCACCCTGACCTGATGCTTAAACCTTGGGTTTAAAAATATTTTGCTCAATAAAACACAGTGACCAAAGCTGCTTACTCTACCTAAAGCATTCAGTCTATCAAGGTTTTATAAAGAAAAGTTACATAAGATCCTTACCTTAATGCATGTGGATTTGACTGGAACTTTCTTGCAGACCCTCAAAGGTGTCATTGCGTGGATAGAAGATCAGTATTGAATTTATCGTCTCGTTACTCTCAAACAGCCAGTGAGCCTGTGAAATGGGGAGCACGCCACATAATTAGAAAATTATCCACTGCCAAACTTGCTATTATCCTATGCCTTTCCTAAGAGGAACAAAAGGTGTGCCATACTGACAGCACTTCACACAGGTAATACAAGAAGCTCTCAAGAGTTTTCAGCAGTCTTCAACTTAAATAAAAACACGGTATATAACACTATATAAAACACGGTAGCTAAAGCTAAGGCCTTTAAGGAGCACATAACCTATGTACTTAGTATACAGCACTGAAAGTGAAAGTCATAGTAGAACAGTTGTTTCTTAGGCTGAAGACTTTTCTCTTTAGGTTGAAGCCCAACTAGACTCGAATCCTGTAAACTAGGGCTTCAATCTTCATGGAAAGTTATATTTCTGTAACAAGCATATTAACACAAGAAGACTTTTACCTCCAGGCTCTCATTGTCAGATTACTCTTTATATTAGATTGTCACAGAAAAGACTTTTTTTACGAAGTCAAAGATCTGAAAGATATTATCAGCAGAAATGATAGTTAGTGACTGATGGGAACCCAGGATAAAGTCCACAGGATATCACTTAGGAAAAAAAGGCAGCGTTATTTTGTAAAAAAATCTTCAGTGTAAAAAGAGGGAAAAGAGGATTCTCCATGTGAAAACTAAACATTTCAAAGGATCTTTTTCTGCTTGAAATACTCAAGTAATTAATATTAAGTATGGCTTCTGCGCCTCTTTGAGGAGTTTCAGTCTTATACAGGTGCCAGTTCACGATACTGAGAAAGTCACTCTGATGACTTTGTCTTTCAGACAGCCAAGTCACCACAGCCCAAACACTCCGGAGTGCTGCTCCTGAGGGTGCAGTGCAGCACCCTGAGAACCCCTGGAGATAGGACTGAAAGGTGAATCCTTTTCCAGCCCTGGCCATAGTCCTGTCATAGCTCGTGAGGCAGTGCTGGGACTTATGCCAGATTTTCTGAAAATGGTATCAGAAAATTAAGGTATTGTTTCCATCTCAAAAACTGTTCAAGAATTAGACAGTGAAACTCATACTGGTGTCAATAATATTTTGCCTAAAAGTCAGGAAAATGTCTGATGAAAACATTGTAAAAGAACTGAAAATATGTCTCCTGGTGAGAAGGAAAAATCCTATTCCTAGTCAAGGACTACTTGTAGAAAACACATCACTGAGTTGTGCCTCAGCTAATGCTCTATGAACTGTGACAATCTTGTAGTAGATTCACCCACCTCTTCCCGAGTTGCATCACTAAGGAGGTAACTACAGATGATTGCACATGTTGTATCAGAGACTGCCAGCAAATTATTCAGTACACTTTCAACAGGCCTGTAATAACACAGAATCAAAATCTGAATGACTCAATAATAATTATTTGCTGTTAGATTCACCTTACCATCCTCTCTTTATTTACAGTTACATAAGTTTTACATCAATCAAGTAAATTAAAAACAGTAACCTGCTTTCTACTAGCAGTGTTAACACATTTCAGAAAGTACCTAAACCACATGAATTTTCTAATGTCATGGGAGTTAATGTAGTCTCTAATACAGTGCTTTCCTTTACACACCAGGCTATAATGGCTCAGCTGTAGAGCTTGAATTTGGAGTGAAGAATTTTGCTTTCCAACCCTTTTTATTGTCACTGTTGATGCCAAGCTGCTCAGCTTGGCAGGCCACATCCTACATCTGTGGGAACTGCATGTGATGTTCATATTCCATGCTTCCACTCTGGGAGCCACCAGGTTACACAGTCTAAGATATTTTCTTGATGCTTGGGTGCTGATAATAAAGTTCTGTTCTTGCATTTCTCTCCTGAGATGTGGGTTGAAATGCCTACTTACAAAGTGCCTGTGGCCCTGGTAAGCTTTCTACTGGAAGTCAAATTTTGCAAATCCCAAAATTTTTTGAATCTTTATCTTTTCTCATGTTTGCTAACCAAATAGGGAGAACTATCATGGAGCACATGTCCCATTTTACAATGAGAAAATTAATTTCATTCTGGTCTTAGAAATGCATAACTACTACAGGGGAGAATAACATCAAAAGTCACTGTGAACTCTATGATCATGAAAGGGAGATTAGGGTGAAAAAAAAAAAAAGTCTCAAAGTAGAAAAAAAGAAAGAAAAGAAAAAAATCCTTCCATCTATCATGAACACATTCAAGGGGAACAATAATGCACATTCTTAACCACACTTCAATGCAGATTTACTTTACTGTATATTCCATACACTCATTCACACCGTGCTTCTTAATAATAAACAAGTGAAAAGTAAAAAATGCAACTGCCAAAGGAAGTTTATTTATGTTCAAACTGTACTGGAGAAATTAGTCAAGGGCAATTCATGCATGTGAAAATATGATTTCTAACACTGCCAAGGTCGATAAGACCTTAGGGAGTAAATGCTAACCACATAAATCAAAGATGCCTAGAGGCAGTTTTGAAGATGAGCGGCAAGGCTTTAATAGTTTTAAAAAGCCTGTTAATAATCCAAATGAATAAGCAATGATACAAGAAGAACAAATATCATGTTTATGAAAGGAACAAACCACTGCTCGATGTATTTCTGTGGATTGTGTTGCCCGAACCCAGAATCATATGATTCTCTGCTACATTTCCAAAGTATGTATCTGATTATTTCTCAGACACGAAAAATGAATAAAGGTGCACGAGTCTAAATGAATCCGAGCTGCCAAGTTAGTTTGCTTGCAAAATATTTTAAGAAAAAGACAGCTTCAGTGACAAAAGTAATTTTATAAGAATATTTCCTCTTTTACCAAGATGTCTAAACAGAAATGCATTTTATCTGAAAATGCACACTCGCTAGTTTGTTAGTTGGTTTTTTAACCATTTTCCCTTGGTAGATGAACAAAAAGCAAACAACTTTCTTTTCCCTCTAAAATTGAAAACTGACAATTTTTCGTTTTAAGCCCAGACACTGAACTAAAGAGTACTTCTGGGACTTCTGACTAGCTGGGTCCAGACACTCCTATGGTTGCCACTGTAATATCTAAATGTCTCTTAAGTTTCAGGTTGCCTTTCCAAAACATTGGGTAAATTAGAGCATACTCATTTCCCACACAGCTCAGATATCTGGGATACACATCTAGTGTGATATCTGAAGACCTCTGAAATCAAAGTGATTTTTAAAACAATCTTTTAAAGGAACTCAGTTTTAGCTGTTAAAAATACCTTGAATTACGAACAGGATGAGTTTGTTTCTGAGTCAGACCCTTCAAAACCTTAAACAAAGATGAATTCATAACAGAGCTGACAAATAGAACTCACTGTGTATTTATTAATTTCTATTAATAATTAATAATAGGTTTTTTAATGTTCCTGTATTGTGCCATTATATCACATTTTAGAAAATACAATCCATGATAGCATCCTGGTTTTACTGCTAAAGATATTTAAACCATTATTTTTATGTTGCTTCTGTGAGGGTAAACTGTTAAGTTGCCACAATCCCTTTCAGGACAAACTTTTCACTGTCTCAAGTTCCTGTTAACAAATTCGTGACTATTACAACCTATTCCTTTTCTCTTCTTGGACATTGCTTTTTAATAGCTCTGCCATCTTGATATCAGGAAAAAAAAAGGTTGACTAGCTATGCAGATTCCTCTGATTAAGGGATAGGGTAATTAATCTGGCATATTCAAAACCTGAGCATGAGCAGGCAGTGAAGTCAGAATAGTGAGAAAATGAGAATGCTGTGGAGAGCAAACAAAAATAGATAGTTATGGACCAGTTGCATACAGAGAGATGTAACCTGAAGACATGCAGCCAATTAAAATTTGTTGGCAAAGGGTGCAGAAGGAAAAGAAGGAAGGCAAAGAGAGAAGCCATCAGCCAAACATGAAAAACTGCTGCGTTCTACTTCATGCAGGCAGAACTTGGTTAGATGGTTGTGGAGTGTGCATACCTGAGAAGCAGCAGGACAAATCTCATTGTTAATCTTGATATCAGAGACACTTGAGTTTCCGCATGAATCCTTCTTGCCTTTTTGGCCTTCCAATATTTCTGTGTTTTCATTCATTTCCTATGTTCCTTGGTCTCAGGGCCATTCTGAAGTCTGATTTTGGAGAATTTGATTCAAATTTCCAGAGGATGAAAGAATATTTGATTTCACATAAGCATAGTTTGATCAGCAAGGGTGACAGTGATCAAAAGCTAATTGCCATAGTTTCCTACTTTTTTTTTTTCCTACATAGATGTGCACTGATTCCTCTTTCTATAAGACAATGCACTGAACTTAATAAAGAAGAGGTTTTCACAGTCCTCTTGCTGTGGAGAGGGTAAGTGTTGGGTAAACTGCATGGAAAATATAGGTAGAAAACACAGTAAGAACTCATTACACTTACTACAGTCACTGATTATCCTGGCAAATACCTCACTGAGGAACATATGGAAAGCACAAAGTCACAAGAAATCTTGGGGGTCTTGAGACCCCATCTGTACACAGTTGTTCCCACACATAAAATTTCTACCTTCCTCCTTTCCTCGCTGCAGAGAAGGAAAAGAGGCTAAAACATGGGTCCTCCTCCTTGAGATGAGTTGGTAAAGATCAAACATTATTTGCATGAGGTTTCCAGTGAATTTTTGCCAGAGGACAAAGGGCTGTATGGGCCAAGAAAAACCAGAAGCTCTACAAGTGTAGGAGGACTGTGTTTGTTGGCTGAGTTTGGGAATAAGTTAAAGTCAGACTAAAGAGCCAACAGCAGCTGTTTCTCAATTTTTTATTATTTTTTTTTTTTAATCCCAGCACAGCATGCAAATAATTTGCTATGGACTTGAACTGGAGAAGCCAAGTATATAGTACTGTGGAACTGAAATCCAAAAAATATAATATTTCAGGTTAGGAGACCTGTAGCTGCTAAGCCAAAACCACTGTTTGCATTCAATTTTCTGGCTTGATCACAAGCACTCTTTCTTCCTGATACACTTAAGTAAAATGTGCAGGTATTGCACTTCCTTGGCTTTTTTCAATGCATACAAATATCTGCATAATGTTTTAGCACTACCACCAGACTTTACCACCAGCAAAATCTTTTTTTGTTTGTTTGTTTATTTGTTAGAGTGCAATGACGATTTCTGCCCCTGGATGTACCTGGAGTTTGCTGAAACATTTTGACTAGTACTCCCAACATATTCTCACAAAACTGATCAGCTGCTCTGAGACAAAAATGCCACTGCTCCCTGCCTGTACACATCATTTGGACAGGTAGAAAGAGAGAAGTTGTACAGACTACAGATGATGTAAAAATAACCTACAAAATATTACCTACTAAGAGGAATGGTATCATACTTACTTGAGCCGCTCTGTAGCTGTTGGAGTTGACCATTGTGCTTTCCCTCAAAACCTTTCCTCCATTAATCTCTCATATCTACAGTTTTGATAGGCTTTTCCACAGAGCATGCAAGGAACACATTGCTCTCCACATATCCATTAGAAGTTCATATGGGGCATCTTCTTTGGAGGCATTTTTAATCCAGCATGAATTCCTTAGCATGATCACACTATACCACCTTCCAAATGGCTGGGAAAATCCACATTATCTTGGATGAGTGGTCCTAAATGCAGATCTGATTTTCCAAAGAGACAGGCAGAAAGACAAGTATTTTCAAAGAATATTTATTGTTATGGTAGCTAAGGTGAAGAGTTTCAGAGTTACTTTAGGCCAAATTCAGGACTAACACAAGAAGAAAGAACTAGAAAAAGTGCAACAGCCTGTACCCTGTTTTCTTATTTTTTTAAAGACCAAAGTATCATAAAATATTTTATATAAATAGGTAATGAAACCAAAGGGACATGACCAATTAAAATGCACATAATTTTAAGAGAGAAAATGCAGATCAATTAAGACGATGTTTCAACCCTATGGTAATTTACATTAGCTGAGGATCTGTCCCTAAATATTTCAGCAGCAGTCTTGACACTTCCTTTGCCCCTCCTAATTTAAGACTTTAAAGGCACTTTGCAGTTCAACAGTCCAGAGTAAGAGAAACTCTACTGCATGCTGCTTCTGGGTGATAACACAGCCATCATCTGCACCAAGAACAACAACATAATAGTGTGGGCTTTCTCAAAGATAGAGTGAAGAATAACTACCTAACTATAATCACAAAGGTAATTTTAGCTAAGTAAAATACAATTACACTAGCCAGAATTTCTTTTGGACATGATTAGTAACAAACGTTCCTTGTCCTGTGAAAATGTGCCAGGAAATTTTAATTGACTGCAAGTATCCAAGGCTGCCATTAAACACATCATCTGAAAGATGAATTTATTTGGCCCACACTTAACTACCATGTAACCTGCTTTATGGTTTACAAGATGGAATGATTTTGTTTTACATGACAGTTATTGGGCCTAATTCTACTCGCAGTTATGCCAGCGAAAAATTTGGAACAAGTCCATTAAAGTCAATGGCTCTGTAAAATCAGAGTAAAATTAGACTCAGGCCCATCATGCAATGTAATAATAACTGATACTACAAACTAGGCCAGTTTCTGCTTTTCCAGTTGGTAGCAAGTGGAACCAAGCACTAGATATCACATTATTCTAAGATAAAAGATACCTAAGACTTGGCCCTTCTCCAGAGACCCAGGCTCATGTACTTCATCTGACACGACACACCGTGTGATGAGAGCACTGCAGGGATCTTTATTCCCTGGCACTTTGGGAGGACAACATAGTGAAAATGGAGAAGAAAAATGAGGAATTCAGAAAGGGATTTTTGATTATAATAACACTTGTAAATCACTTCAGAATAACAGATCCTCTTTTTTAATATCAAAAGTTTGAGTCGCTTTCTCTTATATGGTTTGAGCTTATTGTTTCTTGTGAGTTCAAGGTTTTCCACAGCTTGAGATGGGGCAGGACTTTGTTTTCTGTTTCCTGACAAGGTTATTATGCTATACAAAATAGTTTTTCTCCCTGTGTGGACTTCTCCTTTTTCACTGTTTCTTCGCCTTCCTGGGGACAGCAGTACAGAAACAGGCTTAATGAATGTGTCTGCTTCTGGGGTGCTTTCAAAAGGAATGTCCTAACTTTCAGTACTTACTTCCATGCAAAGGAACATCCTTTTAGGGTTTCCTGGAATGAAGAATCACATCTTACACCTAAAAATAAAAGATTAGGGTGATTAATGTGACACAGTATAAAATGACAAACATTTTCCACTGCCCACTACCAGTTTCCATGATCTCCAAATACCAAATAGTTAACATGCAATAACTCATACCCTGCTATTCTACCTGATAGAAGCTTTCTTTTTATATCAATCATTAACATAATGTAATATATTTATTGTAATATTCAAATCAGAAGCCCAAATATATAACAGGACTATAAAAATACTAGTAAGTGAAGTTTACTTTCAGCATCTGGTGAAGATATGCTCTAACAGTGTAAGTTATCAGGTGGAGGATTTTTGCTGTTGTTTTCTTTTACATTGTTGTTCTAAAAATAGTAATTTTAATATATACTCAATTTGGAAGCTTTTGAACAAAATTAGACATACAGTTTATTCACAATCTGTACTCTACAAATTGAGCCCAGCATTAGGCCAATGTACTTAGCACAGCTCTGGACCAGAGACAGTGGGAGAAGAAAGGAATTAGAAAGGAAATAAGATGCTGTATCAAGATAGGCACATTGGGATTTGTTCCCCTGCTTAAGAAATGAACTAGATTATTATTGCTTTCTTGGGAAAGTCACACTCTGAACAAACACAAGCCAGTGTTTCTTGTCCTTTTTCTTCTGTTGTTGGTCTTGCTCATTGCTTGAGTTTTGAGACTGCAAACTGTTGTTAACCAACAGCTTTACAAGGACCACATGTATATGAAAAACAGTGCTCCCTTCCCAAGTCTACTGACAACCAGCTGATTTGAAAAAGTGTGTTTCTATCTATTACAGCACATGTACAGGTTGATAGCATTCAAATGACCCCATTTATGTTAGGACTGGTAAAGTAATATTCTATTATTTCATTGAAAATAAAATGTGTTGAGACATTTCATGTTGTTTTTCATCTTCCTTCTGTTTCAATATTACTTTAACTGTGATTTGTGCCATCTAACAACTAAAGGTTATCCAAAATAATTGTTGCACATTACATCCATTGCATTAAAGATGATCTGTGTTTATAAAACAAGATTTTTTTATGAATAAAATACATTGAGAAAATATAACTGTCTCAACAGCAATTCTGTCAGTTAAAAATACAGTGATATAGCTTGAATTTCTACACTTCAGTGCATCTCTTGAGGGAGCGAAATGCTTATTAGATGGCAGCATGTGTTATTCCCCAAATCTTCTTTTATATGCCTATTTCAAGTGTTTGATTATTGCCTGGCTAATAATAGGTGCTTCATCAGTTAAAGAACAGAAAGAAAAGACCAGATAAGATAGTGTAAATTGTAGCATGTAATTGTTCACTGACTGTCATTGAAAAGGTTCAGCTGCTACTGTATGACAATCTTGCTCTGATGTCTGCAGCCACTGTTTCATGTAACAGCAATTAAAGCTGTGGGAATTGGGAAAAACTCACCCACAGAGACCAATCCCGCCCCATTAATTTTTAAGTGCACAGAGTACTCCAGAGGACAGAAGAGCCCACCTGGGGCCAGTGAAAACACATCACACCAGTCACTGATTTATTGGCATCAGGAAATGGGTGGTGAAAAGGCTGTCAACTTCCCTAGTCTGACTTGCACAGGTCATTCCCTGTCTTTTCTTCTGCTTCTTCACCTTGGTCATCCCAGTAACCTCATGGAGACATTTGGTTGCATCCTACATTGAACCTGCCCAGAACTGAATCTGAATTGAATCTGGATGGAGGCAAAGAGACTGGTAGCTAAAACCCCTTCCTGAGGCTCTGCTATGAAGAAGGATTTTGAGAGCATGGCAGTTTTGCAAAATAGAGCAATGAAGGCCTTCTGAGCCAACCACAAATAGAGGAGTGTGTTGCAGAAACAAATGGACGGAAACAAAACCCCCAAAAGCTGCCCAGAAAATAGTAAGATATGAAGGAACTGAAGTAAGAAGTTACTCTTAGAGTCTGATGATTTTACCTATTCAGAGCTGGTCTTC